ACTACTCCTCTCTCTCTCTCTCTCTCTCTCTCTCTCTCTTCTCTCTCTCTCTCTCTCTCTCTCTCTCTTCTCCTAATATATGCGCATGCTTTTATGCGTTTACTTTTTGAAGAAATAATATCCTTTTCTTTATTGCATTTTCCACAACCATTTCTCCTCCTCAGCCTAATCCAAATACCCCTTTGATTTGTTGGAGGCTTATGCAATATGCAGTCATTTAGGACAATCATTTATTTCTACTTGGTGGATATTGTTGTTTATAGTTGGTATCGAATGGCAATGTCTTTGCTGTTATGAGATGTTCTCTTTATATCTTGTCTTCGTAATCCTTCAATTTGACTTCATAATCATGCAGTTTAACATTTAAGCATGTATCATGACAAAGTTCTTAACATTGTTTTGGATTTGCAGTTGGTGGGGTCTCATTGAGAAATCGTGGGGCATATGTCAAAATTATCCCATACAGCTACCTTTTTTCTCAAATTTTGACCAGGTTGTTGCTTATTTATGTTAGTGTTGATTTGAGTGTCAAAATACAGTATAATTGTCTTATATTTGCATTTAGCATTTATTTAGTTAATATGATGGGGTTAACCTTGGTAACATGTTTGTTATGATTTATGTGTTTTACTATTTGACCAGGTTGTTGCTTATTTATGTCAGTGTTGATTTGAGTGTCAAAATGCAGTATAGTTGTCTTATAATGCGGTTAACCTTGGTAACATGTTTGTTATGATTTATGTGTTTTACTATGAAGAATATTTTAGTATTAAGTTTTATGGATTTTCTATTTTTGGACTACTGTAATTTTCTATCTTTTTTGGTTAGTTTTCTGAGTTGAGGAAGAACATCATTTTATACATATTCGAAAAGGACAAGAAAGCGTCACACAAGTTTTGTTCTAGCTTTTGTTTATTTACTTATGGGGTTAACATATAAGTTGGAAATAACGATGTTATTAATATAAGTGCATCTTGTTAATGGGAGCTGCTGAATGGTACTTGCTCATCTAACATGGACCTGATCATGATTTTTCTTGGTGAAATCCGACCAAATTATTTTTGATCTTGATCCCAAACTGTCCTTTACAAAAACTATTTACCTGGAACTTTCTCCAAAAAATTACCTAAGATGAATCAAAATTGCATCCATTGACGTAATTTGACTTCCCAAATGATGTGATGATTATGATCGTCTCTATTAAGTACGTTAAACTTGGTTCCTTGGCATGCCTATACTGAAGGACTTCAAAATTATTTAGGGTCATGGCCAGCATTTTTTCATTGAAGGTCAACCAGTGTTAGCTGATCCATGGTGTAACATTTCTTCCCAAGGTTTCCAGGTATGCATCTTATCTTGTTTTTAGTTGTCAGATCTATATCGCGGTGTTGTCGTAATTTTTATTGATTCTTGGCCTTTATTTTTGTTTGTTCATGAATGTTATAACTAGGTGCCAAAAGCATCCTTTACTAGTTTTACTTGTGCATCGAAGGTCATTTGTATGCGGTGTGCTTGTCATGATAGATATCGTTTATGATGAGATTTATCAAGATAAGGGTTATGACTCATCTTATTATATATAAACATTCAAATAATTTTCTCTAAGCATTAACTTGTCATCCTTTCCAAGTGATGTAACATCTCAAGTGGTTATGACATCTAAATTCTTTCTTTTTAGATTACCATGAACACCAATGAGTTTCTGGCTTTTTGATGAGTATCTTGGACAAGTATCCACAACTTCAGACCACCTCTATGCAGTGCGATTCTCAATAAATTGTTGCAGATCACGAGTTTACAAAATAAAAACTTGTTCTCTATCTACAATGATTGGATCTGATTTCAAATTTTAAGTTGTTGTATCTGTTTATCACAGCTCAAATATCTGCAATCACTTTATTGGCGTTAGCTGCTCTTAGTGATCCTGGATAAATCTACCACAACTGACACATCGGGCTATCATTAAAAGCACCATAGGCTTATCATTACAAGCACCATCTATATTGTCTTTTGGGCTCCAAATCATGGGGAAATCCAATGGACCTCCAATATCTAGCTTAATGAGTAGAACATCAAGAATAGAGTTCTCTAGTCTCCTTAAGCCACCAAAAACCATGCTAATTATATTTGCTGCTAAGTTTGACCTTTATTTACAACAAGCTCAACTTCGAGCTTTCATGTGTGTTAATTTGGAAAAGGAAGCTGAAGGGGTTATTGTTTTCTGTTATTTGATACTGGCATATTCTTAGAGACTAAGTTGAAACTAAGTTGCCCAATTTTGATAGGATACAGAGAAGGGGATACTTAGCATTTTCCAAATTATGGGATATGAATATCATCATCATTATCATCCTAGCCTTATCCCTACTATTTGGGGTTGGTTGAATGATTCCTGTTCCGCCCTTCCACTCTATAGAGGGCCATACTGACCCTCAGTCAGACCATAAACCACCATTTCTCTTCCCACTACTTTCATCAATTTTTGTGCCTTCCCCTTGTCCTTTTAGAGCTTTCCACTTGAACCAAATCGCCCCTCCAATACATGTTGTTTTTAGGTTGACACTAGCATGACTATACCACCTCATCTTATCGACTATTGGAGCCAGCCCCTAAGTTCACTCTGATATATTCATTCTACTTTCTATCCTTTCTTGTCTTGCCACTCATCCTTCTTAACATCCTCATTTATGCTACACTTAGGAATATATTGTTTTTTGACTGCCCAATATTTCGTCCCATAAAGCATGGCTGGTCTTACAGATGTTCTATAGAACTTCCTCTTTTGCTTCATTGGTATGCGACGATTTCATGAGACTCTGGAAGCACTTGTCCACTTCTTCCACCTAGCTCTAACTCTATTAACGCCATCATCCTCAATTTCATCATTCTCATGGATTATCGATCAAAGTTATTGAAAATAAACTCTTTTAGGTACTTGGCCATCAATCTTAATTTCTTCATTTCTGCTCATATTATTACTAAACTTGCATTCTATATATTTTGTCTTTGTCTGACTAATTTTAAAACCTTCAGGTCCTCGAGTATCTCCCCAAAGTTCTAACTTTGCGTTGACATCGTCTCTAGTCTCATTAATCAAAATAATGTCATTTGCAAAATGACATAGACCATGAGACCTCATTCTATAGTTGCCTAGTTAACTCGTCCATAACCAAAACAAATAGATATGGACTCAAGGTTTACCCCTGATGTAGGCCTACTTCACTAAAATCTCCATTGTTTCGCCACTAGTTGTCATCACACTAGTTAGCACTCCCACGTACATCTCTTACCATGTCAATATATCCTTTAGAAGACTCATTTCTTTTACAACACCCACCAAATTAACCATTTAGATGCCTATCATATACTTTTTGCCAAATTAACTCTTTAGATGCCACATCATATACTTTCTGTAAATCAATAAGACCATGTGGATGTCTTCACACTTCTTCCTAAACCTCTCAATCAATTGCCAAAGTAGGAAAATAGCCTCAATTGTTGACTTTTCTGGTATAAATTTGAACTGATTTTTTGATACACCCATTTCATGTTGTAGTCATTGCTCAATCACTCTCGCCACAACTACTAATGTGGCTCATAAGTTTGATCCCTTGACTGTCGTGCAATTTTTTATGTCTCCTTTGTTCTTGTAAATAGGTACCACAATACTTTTTATCCATTTGTCTAGTATCTTCTTTGTTCACAAAATCTTGTCCAACAATTTGGTCAACCAGAATATGCCAATATCTCCAATGCACTTCAAAACCTCTATTGGGATACACCATCTGATCCTAAAGTCTTTTCTATCTTCATCTTTCACAAAGCTTCTTTGGCCTCAGATATCCTAATCCTATGAGTTTATTTATAACTTCTGGCCTGGTTTATGGAAAAGGTTCCTCCTAATGCTATGCTCTCATAATGGTCGTCATTACACAATTTTTTAAAATAAATTCTCCACCTTTCATTGACCTTATCATCCTTCCCCAAGACCCTCTAGTCCTTAGTCTTAATGTTTTTAATATGATTTAGATCCCGACACTTCTATCACATTTTTGCCAGTTTAAAGACATGTTTTCACCTTCTCTTGCCCCCAAGTTATGACATAGAGCATCATGTGCTTTATGCTTAGATGATCATTTTTCGCTAATGGCCTTTTAAAGCTCTTCACTCCACCACCAAGTTTCCTTATCTAAGTGTTTTTCCCTCTAGATTCACCTAAAACTTCTTTTGTCGCTTTTTTAATTCAATCAATTATCTCATTCCACATAGCGTTAACTTCGTCAATAGAATTCCATTTTCCTTCTTTTATCAATTTATTCCATTAATATGTCTATTTTCTCCCTTTTTAAATTCCACCACCTAGTTCTTGGACGCCTATAAATTTCGCTCCTTTTCTTCCATCACTTTATCCAAATATCCATAACCCTAGGCCTTTGTTGCATGGTCCAACTCTCTCTTAGTATAACCTTCCAGTCTTTACATGATGATCAATCTGCTTTTTTAACTGCAAAGAAGTCCATTTGGCTTTTATATGATCCATTTTGTAAGTTATTGAATGTTCGTCTTGCTGTTTAAAGTAAGTGTTTATTATTGCTAGGTCGTAAGCAATAGCAAAATTAAGAATATTTATCATCCATTTCATTTATTTCCCCAAATCCATATCCTCTATGTACCCTTCACATCCTCTACAATCTTTTTCTACATAACCCTTCAAGTCCCTTCCTAAAAAAGTCCTCTCCGTTTGCTATTCCTCGAACTAGTCCATTTATGTCCTCATAGAATTGTCTTTGAATTCTATCCCTTGGTCCTATCTATGGCGCATAAGCATTAATTGCATTAATTATCTCCGGCCCTAGCACACGTTTAATTAATAGGAGCTTATTACGTATTCTCTTATGTTCTACCACTTTATCCTTTAAAATTTTGTCTACATCATTTCAGTTATTAACCTTTCCTACATGCCAATGTTTATATCCATCAATTTTCTTAGCTTTTTACGCTCTCCACTTAGTTTCCTATAGGCAAGCTATGTTAACTCTCTTTCGTCACATTGTATCTACTAATTTCATAATGTTACCTATTAAGCTTCCTACAGTCGATGTAGCTAGACGAATACTATTCTCGTGGACTAGCTTCTTTACCCATGCTCGTCCAAAATGGTATGAGAATCCTTGCCTACTTATCATTGCAACTGGGTGACATTGTAGAGTGTTGCTTCCAGGGAATGCCCTAGTTAACTGTAGCTCATTTCTCATTGCACTCATGTAACTAGGATATGAATATGGATACAACTTTCTCTGAAACCTCAATACTTTTATGTCCTTGCTTATGTATTTCATAAATATATATTTCTCGCACTTTGATACTGATATACCACATTGTAATGTATAGTTTTTTATTTTATTCATTTTATATTTTTATATTTATATCATTTGGTATTTATAAGTATCCTAGGAGTGCCCGGTATTTGTTTTGATGATATCATACCGAGATTGGTATTAAGTATAATAAGCATCCATGTATCATGGGTCGAAGACTATTTTGCATGTGCATGCTCATGCACCGATGTATGTTTGAGTGCATGTGAACCAGAGTTATCAGGATCTTCTAAGGAGGGACTGCTTTTGCAATCGGATCTCGTTCTAGCACTTTGAAACACAGGATCTCAATTTCGGGTGATTCCTTGATATTAAGGATCTCAATCCAGAAAATAAGAGTCTCCATCCTATGTTAATGGGACCCAAATCCCTATCCCAGAAATCGTCAGTCATAAGTAAGTGGAATCGTGATTCCACCAAAATGGGATCAAGTATCCTATGCTTTGGGCGCGAGTTTCAACATCACATTTTTTATTCATATATCATGGAGTATGGATTTCCAGTTTTTTATGACCTACAAACTCTCTAAATGCCATGATTTCCTATGTATTTACACATCTTGTGAATTGACTTGTGTCTAGTTCCAAACAAAGGCAAGAAGAGAGGGCATGGAGAGAGAAGGAAGTAGTTGGATCTCGTATAATTAGGGTGGCACATTACACTACAAATAGGATGTGTGTTGAATTTGGTGGTTGAAAGAAGCTTCCTTTATTGAAAGTGCAAGATTGCCTCTGGGAAATGCTAACTCCCTGTTCCTACTTTTCTGCACCGGTTTTAGTACGCCCATAATAGGGGAGTTGAGAGAGTTGAGTACTGACAATGTGAGAGTGAGATAGACCACAATGTTCTCCAAGGAATTTGAAGAGAATAAGAGTCCATAAAAGTCTCCAATGAGTGTATATATTAAGTAGTTGACGAGATAGCTAGAGGGACAGAGAGAAAGAAACAACTCCCAAAGGAAACAAAGATCCATTCATACCCAAGGGCTTATTAGGTATTACATTTTATTTTTTAGTATGGCTTATTAGGTATTACGTTACCGTATTGATTTTTTAATATCACCACTTATTTGTGAAATCTTGCTCCATTTATAACAAACAGTCCGAGAGATTTTCAAGGACATGATTCCTGTTTACCTTAATACTTGGGTTCGTGAATTTAGAAAATAAAAAAACTGTTAAATGGAACTCGCGCCTAGATTGAAAGTTGGACTATGTGATCTCTTCAAAATTTTCTTTGCTTTCTTTTATTTATATCAGCTGGAACACTTATGTGTCTAGTTCAAGGATTCTCACTTGCATGCCACTTACATAAACTCTCATTCAAATCGAAACAAAGTACAATGCATACATTTGAGATAATGAAAAGATATCTAGTTGTAACTAAATGGGATCCTAGTTGTAACTAAATGGGAATTGGATCCATCGGGTCAAGAATCATGTGAATTCACTGAGGCGCTCTATCTTATACTAGCAGCTGTTAACTACAATCATCATCTCAAACCAACCCAATGGAACCAATAACCCACAGCCCATCGAAGGGTTTCATGATTGGTTCATAAAAGTTTGCCAATAAATAAAGAGAACCCGATTCTAGTTGATGGATTTCAGGTTCCTCCTTGAGTACAAACCACGTCCCACAGGAGATATGCCTACTATTGCAATGGTGCAGGGGTCCATCCTTTCTGCACATGTACACGTCATACCCTTACAGGTCACTTCCCAAAGATAACTATCATGTGTTCATGCTGTACAATGGCAATGATGAGGATTTAGCCCTCATCCTCTCGGATTTGCCAACCGCACACAGGGATCACGAAGTCTATTGGTGAACAAACCACCTTGGGCATCTTCATACCTTATCAAGGGCGAACCTAACAAACCCTCCTCAGTTGTGCATTATGCCAGGGCTACAAGGTTTTAGACATCATCCTGTGCCTAGCTTATCAAAACCCGGGTGAGCCACGACATCTGAAATGTGCCCCATTGGTTCCACTGGATCCTACTCCCATTGGGGTTTAATACATCACTATGTAAAATGTATTACATGCTCTCATAAGGCCTTTAAATGTTCACCAACCCCAACAATGATTACAGTACAATGGATAATTGCACTTTGGGATCCTCGAACCTAACATGATGGAATGCAATCCCATCCTGTAAGGGATCTGCTCCTTTGCAGATGTGGAACTTGATCCCTAAAAGTCAGGGATTTCAAACCTTGAATTTGCCCATGTATGGAAATCTTTCCCTCGACCATGGAACTTTAAAACTTTCTCGCTCTATGCTTCCGCACTGAATCCCAGAGCTTTTTTTGCTCCCAGCCCAGTGGTGGTCTGTTTTTTTATCTTTTCATACATGTTATCATGTATTGTGCTTTCTCATTGATCTTCTATATGCATGATACATTATGCGATGCACCTGAGAACTTTCATGCCTAAAACATGCTATTTATAAATTGATGTATTCTTTTATTTTATGTTATGTTACTGGCTGAAATAAGATATTTTTGATTTTTTTTTGTGTAATTTGTAGTTATAGAATAGCATGCCTTCTAACTTGTCTCTATCATGAGTCAACCAAGCTTTCAACTGTTTATAGTGTCCATTCCTTTCTGCTAGGCCTATGGTGATCATATTTATTTATTTTTATTAATTTGTTTTCTCATTTTATAGCCTCTTCTTGAAGATGGTACGGGAAAAAGAATGCAAGTCTTTGTAAAGTAAGTAGTATCATCATTCTGTTTCCATTATCATTTCCAGTTAATGCATTCTTCTAGGACATGGATGCAATCATCATTAATTGGAACCACGGAACTCTCCTATATGCCCCACATAAAATGGAGTGAATGAAAAATTTCATTATAAATTATCAAGCAAAGAAAATGGATCTAGTAGATTTGTGGGAAATCATCAATAATATCCCTTAAATTTCAGTAGTTTGAAACTTACCATTTTTTCTTCAAATTTACGCCCATCCGTGTTAATTCACTCTTTTTTTAAATCCCCAATAACCTTCACGGACCTAATAGGTTCGTAAAGCCTTTACGGACCTATTAGGTCCATGAAGGTCTTAGCTTAAAGCCCCACACCTTAGGTTAGGTTGTAAGGCTAGGGGCTAGGGCGTTTATGGCCTTATTAGGTCTGTAAAGGCCCCATTGCTTGGGGCCTTTACGGCCCTATTATGTCCATAAAGAGCTAATAGGCCCTTTTATACACATACACACACCGA